GGGGCTCCCGGTCATGCCTGCTCCGGCGCCCCGACGCCTGGTCTGCGTGGCTTCTCGAGTCTCCCCCCACCCCCAAGGGTGTCCCGGCACCCCTGTGCTCTTGGCGCCTGCGGCAAGCAGAAGGTGGCTCCTCCCTGGCCTGTGCTGCCCCCCGCGCGCCCCCGGACCCGAGGCCCTCAAGGAGCTGTCGGTCAGCGCTGCCTCCCCTGCTGGGGGCAGCGGCCACCCTGGGCTCAGGGGGACTTACGCTGCCTGCCTCTCCCCACAGGCGGGCGTTCGGAGGGGGACAGGGACCCCGCAGGCTTGTCCGCACCCCTTAGGGGCTCAGCTCGACCTGTGGCTGTGGGCCCGGACTCTGTGTCCCCTGTGCTCCGCCCTCACCCCTCCTGGCTCCTTTGCTCTGTGGTCCAGCTGTCTCCGTGGGGGTGCTGGCCCTCAGCTGGCCCAGTGTGGGGGACCCACAGGCGCCATCTGCACCTCGTGGGTGGAGCGCCCTCTGGCCCCTGACCCCCTCTGGCAGGCAGGGCGGTCTCGAGGCCACGCAGTCTGGTGCTGGGGCTCTCCCCTCCTGAGCAGTGGGCCCAGGCCACCCACCGCGCCACGGTGTTTGCCTGCAGCCACGGGAGACCCGCAGGGGCCTGTGGGCCGTGGCTAGACCCACGCGTGGCCTGGGGCGGGGAGACCTGTGGGCCTGGACGTCCACAGCGGGTGGGAGGGGAGACACGTGCCCTCCCCCCAGGTCTGTCTGCAGGGGCCTTGGGGCCCGCGTGCGGCGGCCGGGCGGGCCATCTGCCGGACTGCGGTCACCGCCGTCGGACGCCCGCCCCTCCTGGGGGCGCGTGGGCCGGGTCCCTGCTGCCCCGCCAGGCGGGCCGCGGGCTGACCGCCCTCTTTCCTGGCGCAGACGGTAGACGCAGAGGCGCCGGCAGCGTAGATGACGGCCACGTGACGGACGACCATGCCCAAGGGCGGGAGCGCCAGGACGCCCCAGCAGGAAGACGGGCCCCTCAGCAGCGACATGGTGGAGAAGCCGGCGGGGAGGAAGGTAGGCGTGGGCGCGGGGCCGCCTCCCCAGGGGCCTGGCGTCCCTCGGAGCCCCCGGCCGGGCCTCCTGCAGGCCGAGGTGTGGCCACGACGGGGGTCTGCGTCCCGGGTGCCTGCGGGCCTGTCCAGAGCTGACACTGCCTTCGGGGGACGCCGGCCTGGACCCCATCTTACCCTCGCTCCTGGGGTTGTCCGCCTGCCCATCTCTGGGCCAGCACCTGCTTGGTGCCGCAGGGACAGGGCCGGCCTGGGCCTGGGCAAGGTGGTGTGGCCCGGCCACGTGTGCCTGTGTGGGGAGGCCGGAGGCTCCTGGCGTCCTGAGAGCGGCGGCCACTGCGGGGCGAGGGTGGACGCGGCGGTGTGGTGGGCGCCCTGCGCCCTGGGCCTCCTGTGCGTGTGGCCTGGTGGCCGGCGCCCGCCCGGGAGTCAGCCGACGGGCAGCTGTG